AATGATAGCCAATTTAAATTTAAAATAGTTATAAATAAAAATAACCTACATTGGCATAGATATTTGCTTATTAAATGAACCGTTCTGTGAACAAGAACGTGATAAAAGTCACATCTACACCAAACAGTGGCCATAACAATTAACAAAAGCAACAATAATAAATATAAAATCAATGTTAATTAACGTCAAGTAGAATGAATTCAAGTTACCGCAGCTGCCGCAAAAGTTAAATAGTTTGTCTATGAAAAGAAAGTGTGGGTGGATTTCGCGCCACAATTTGACAGATGACATTTAGCCGCCATTTTAATTGGGGTCAATAAATCCTGGAGCGTTTAGCGTTGAACGTAAACGGAGCGAAATAATGTTGTCGATTTATTTTAATTACATATATGGGCACATAATATGTTGCTGAATTGTTAATTAGCTGTGAATGTAAATTGCTGTTCAGCCATTGTGATTAATGCGGTGTTTTATTATGTTTTAGTGTAATTACTTAATAGACATAGTTATTTATGAAATAGAAACTCAGCCTGGTTTGGTTAAAACATGGTGTAGAAGAAGTCATTGTGATTTTTGCCGATTTCTTTTTCATAGATATTTCTGCGTTGGGAGCAATATACCTATCTACCATTCGCGACGTCTATAAGTGTAACACGCCTATCAGAAATATCTAAGTAGGTTCGTGTTTAAGGTTTTGACTGCCAATAATTGGTCACCGGTGACCCCACGGCGTTTAATGTGTTAAATTAAGTTTTTAAATTTTAGTTTATAATTTTTTGCATAATTAAATAATTATAATCAGTCAATTAACTACCTTATTTGCAACATCATAAACAAAGACCTTTAAAACACCGATCAACAGCAACTACAGTAGGGTCAAACTTGCAATATTTTCTTGTCAATTGGGGGTCCAAACTGATTTCATTTTTATTGCTTCCCCAAGCGATATTAATCTTCATTACACGGGAGATACGGGATTTTATCATGTCGGCGTATTATGTGGGGGACTTCGGAGACCCCCTCTAGAGGGGGAAGACATGGGGTAATTGCCTTTATATCGAGTAATTGTTCTATGCCACCGACTTGTTTGTTGTAAATTGTTTTTAATTCCATAGAGAATTAGTTCTGTTTGTTTAATATTTTTAATTGTGTTGTTGGTAATTTGTTTATTTTTTGTTACGGCGTTGGTAGTTTGAGGACGGGTATTTTATTGAGTTTTTTAATGACAAAGTTAGGTTTACTGTTTATTCTTATGATTTTAAGATCAATACTTACCTAAAACATTATTAATTTATGAATTTTAGTAAGTGTATTGGCAAGAAAGTTTCATTTTTGGTAAATATTAGTCCTATTATATTATTTCTCTAATTATTATCATTTATTTATTACTGATATATCAATAAAAACGATATACCTACCTACTTAATTACTGAAATCGTGATAAAATCAGAAACACATCAAGAATCCAATAATCCGTTAATATCGTTTTAATTCAAAATCAGCAGAACGATCAAACCAGCCAGTGTTCATAGACAATAAACGTATTAAGGGGAGCCATTCACGGCAATACAATTACCGGAGCGTGCCACGCACGGGGCGGCGGCAATTCTCGATAATCCAATTGTTAATGTATAGGCTATCGGTTTCCGCCTATTACTGCAGCAGTTTGGTTCGCAAATTGAGCGGTGTCGCGATTAATTAGCCGTTTAGTGTCGGTTTGTGAATGGGAAGTTTTATTGGATTATTCTTTTGTGTTTTGTTGTGGGTAATGTCGTGTCGTGTCATGGGTCAATTTTGTTGTTAGTTAGTGCCATTTTGTTGTAATAGCTAAGTTTATTTATGGGGTTGAACTTCTGTTCCGAAAAATGCTTATTCAATAAACTGACACCCGCACATAAAAGAATCACACATTCGTATATCTAAGCTGACTGTTTCTGCACATTTTATACGTCACCATTTTCTTTTGAACGAAAAGCTTATTATTTCTTCTGCTTGATCTAGCCGTCGCATGCATAATGGTAAAGCCAAAAGATTTTCAACTTTATCATTAAAAGATACGGTTAAAAGTCGAATAAAAACAGTTCAAAAATATTTATCTAAATATCTATGATTGGTTAGTTATTTTTTGCCACAAATTAGGCTATGATCATATACATTCGGCGTATTATAGATGTTGCCAGTGCTGATTACTAAAAAAGTCAGTGTTGCCATATTAGGTGTCATTTATTAGGTGAATGATGTGTTTACTGGTTTTGGTAGTTGTGATAATAGATGGATCACGATACGTTTCGTAATATATTCGGCAATAATGAGCGTTTTTATTTAGATACCATTTTATCGGTACGCCAAGGTTAAATTGTTAAAGTTATAATGACGTGAAGAAAAACAGCGATTTTCCTTGATTTGATTCTTAAACGTTTGTAAGTTTGATCAAGGCTTTGTAACATTTTTTTTATTTTTACCTTTACTTCTTACAGCTCTAAAAATGTTTGACAAATCTAGAGACTTTGGGAATTTAATTAGATTTTAGACCTTATTTAGAAATGCGAGGAAACTCTGTATGCAAGTTGCGAATACTTATTTATATTGAAAAAGTAACAATAAATATTTCAACGTCTATGATGTATTTAAATACATATTTAAAGCTAAAACACACTTATCATAAGCTACATTTCAAGAAAAGTCTCTCACGACAATTATCCTCAAACAGTGTAGTCACAGCTTTAACAGACGCGACTCCAAAGTATTGTGTACACTACACATTATCGGACATTTTGAAACAAAGATGCGGTTTCGAAATTTAAACGAAACGACACCATTAGGCGGTGACGTCATCTGTCATGAGTGAGTGACATTATAGTTAGATTGTTGTAGGTATTGAAATATTTGAATATTTTTTTCTGAGTAAAAATTATAATTGTATTATTTTCCAAAATCTACCTAAGTATTTAGTTTGAATAGTTCTTTGTAAGAAGGACTGAATTTAGGATATTAAGTACTATTAAGTAGAAAGAGTATGAGATGAGAAATCTGATTTGATTTCCCTATACCACACTTCCTTTAGTAATTAAAAAACAAACTGTTCCAACGAATAACCACTCAAAATCATATCTAATCTAATTTACGATCAATAAACCGGAACAAACTAAAATATTATCTACTAAAAGCCACAGCCACAAATTTATGTCACAAGAAAAAAAAAACAAACATAAAATAGTTTCCATGTCACCCAATATAAAAACACGATTCCTTCCTAAATATAGAACGGAAGCTTTTAAAATCGGAAACTTTTTAAATTTCGATCGCTTCCTCGTTCCTATTTCAAAAAGACACACGCCATAATAGCGCAGCTGGGGACCATAGATATCACTAAAGAGGTTGTAACGTAAAAAGTTTGTATAACAACAAATTATTGAGAGGAAGCCACCGCGGCTCCGGCTAGACTATTGCAAATTGGTTTTTGAGTGTTCTGTCGCCACCCAGCATGGGAACGACTCAAGTGGCACAGACGCCACGAATGACGATTAAAAAAAATTATGAATCGCTTAGTTCAATGCGCTCAAGAAAGCAATAAATATTTCTAATGCGACATTATTACAGCTAAAGTTTTCAGTCATATTTTTTCTTTAGTTATAAATTGACTGGTAACGTTAAAGTGGTTTTTACACCATCTTCATTTACTTTTAACATCAACGACACAACGCTAATGTAATTTGAAAACGGAAATAGGAATGAACGTCTTAATCACGCCGCCATTAAAACAGTACGTGACTTTTTAAAAGCGTTCGGTGTTTCTTTTTCAAAACGGTCATGTCAAACAGCGAGCCCGTTCGCCGCGCCCTTTTTAAATTTAGAACCACTTCAGCGACTAATCAGATTTGTAAAGTTCGGCTTTTTGGTCGAGTTATTTTTTTCAAATTGAGCGGCGATCGTCTTTTGTTCGGCCTCTTTGTGCCGTGTTTGTATGAAATAGACAAACTGTGCATGGGAAAATATTTAATTAGACAATAGCTTATTTGTGTTTGTTCTGTTAATGTTGGTCTTGAAAGTCTGGGTGCGCGCAATTAGCACCTACGGGCTACTGGTTCCCGGCCGAGGCGTTCAGTTACAACTTTTTTACTGTTTTACGACAAGTCAATTGACTTCGAGGAAATAATTAGCTTTTAAGGATTCGACTTTCCTTTTGTGACATTCCAATTTAACTCCGAATCAGACAGACATCAAACTTGTTCAAAGTCAATATTAAAGCTTCAATTGTTAATTTTAATGCTTAGGAACATATTATTATAGTTTTTTAACACGATCCCCGCTATCTTTTTACTAAAATATTAAACAAATTACTTTCCATCCGTGGCCTTTAAGATTTGGCATACCTAATTTTATAAGACAACAGCGGACGAAACAGCAAGCGGAAACCTAAGTCCTCAAGATAAATGGAACCACGAAACAGGAGTGTCGCTTCTGATCAAGTAGCTAATGTCTAAACGTCTAGACATAAGAGTAATTAAGATAATTTAAAAGCTAACCGCTCTCAAGTGGTGCTCACAACCCTTTAGAATGCGTTAAGATATCTCATGATCGGTCCTTCCAATGTACTGGGGACTCCATCTCTTGTTTTTATAGAGAGTAATTGCTAGCTTAGTTCCTAAGTACTGATATTGGTTATGATTTACGATTATGTTATAGACTCGGGTTTGTGGTATTTTTGGACCAGCAAACATTAAATTTGGTGCTACACATGTTTCTTTATGGGGTTAACTAAGGTTTATAAACCGATATAAATAACCTATCGAAATGAAAATTCGCAATTGCGACTGCCGGGTAAGGAGTCTTGGGCACGATAACCTGGTCGGGCAAATATGGATCTGAATCCAAAGATTTGTTAATTTCGGCCGGTATTATGTACTAATACTGTTGGTAAAGGTGAAAGTTCATTTGTTTGGATTTCTATCAAGTTTCATTGATTGCTTTATTAAATCTATATCTTTATTTGTTAACAGAATCCTTAAGTCCACAATCGGAGCAGATGACAAACCCAAACCAGGCAGCACCAGATCCAAACATCAGGTATGTTGGAAATATTAACTACTTGCCCCATAACCTATTACCTAACCTTTTGAATGCACCGATATGAGACACAATAAAAAAAACGTTCTGTCTCGCGTGGGTCCACGTCTTAGACACGCGAAAGGATAAATGATTCAACAGATAGACTAAATTTTTCATAGACTAAATTTATTTTTCATTAAAACATAAACTATAATAAAACAAAGAGCAGCACAGCATTGTCATTTGTCTATGACAAAGCACTATTTCAAAATAATCACGATTTTAGTTAATGAAAATGACGATTTGTCTCCCATCATCGTCATATAATATTGGTGCCTATAATCAATTAGTTTTTCCTTTTAAACAGGAGATACCGTACGGCATTTACTAGAGAGCAACTTGCAAGATTGGAAAAAGAATTTATGAAAGAAAATTACGTATCAAGACCGCGGCGATGCGAGCTGGCCGCCCAATTGCAACTTCCTGAATCAACTATTAAAGTAAGCATCAATATTCATTTGAATTTAGAATATTTTAATTGGTTTTCCACCAGTACATTTTGTTGTTTATAAAAAATAATTACGAAAATTACTAAAAATAAATTACAGAATATTACTGCACATTAGCTGTTCTAGAAAACTCGCAATTTCCATGAAGCCAAACAACAAAAATCAATGGCACACTTAAACGTGACTCAGTCAATTATAACCTAAAATTTCATTTGAAACTTACAAAAAAGGTTGCAATTAAATACAATTTTCAGCCCGCCCCCACAATATGACACATACAAAACGAGCATTATTTCAGAATCCATACCACCCACGACTTGTCCTGAATAAAATCGACCTCTGTCCAATAATAAAGTGCCAACTGTTTTCGTAACATAATCAATTGACAAGTTGAACGTCACTTAACAAGTAGCAGATCACAGTCATGAATCGTTATGACTGTTTTTTTTTGCGTCAGGCATAATGGAACGTTTCCTTTGCTTTGGCTGTATGAAGTTATCTTTGCCTGTAAAAGTTGTTATGTCATTTTGATTTGTTTATCATTCGTTCAGCAATGAGTGAATAATATTTCATTGTACTGGAAAAATCTTTATTGTTATCGATTTTTAGTTAAGTGAAACACTGCATATTATATGCTAATAAAACAGCTATGAAACTGTTATGTTAACTAGAACTCATGACTACATTGTATGATGCCTCAATAAACTTCAATTAGATCTACAATAATTTCCATCTAAAACGAATGCGCTATTATGGCCGCTAATTCGCGAGAATTTTTATACAAATATGAGAAGAATCACATGGTGTTTGATAAAGAAATAATGTGTGGTTTTACAAATAAAGTGACAGGCCTTGGTTTAAATGGCCTTGTTTCGGAATTTATTAGTTTTCTTAGAAACAGTAAAAACCTCAAGAAAATTTAGTGATTTTGTGGTTTGACAATAATAGTTTTAGATAAGCTGTTAAGTATTGAAGGATAAGCGACGTACAAACAAGAATTCTTAACGTCAACATCTTTGCCAAAAGACATTATAAAAAAAAACAAAGTACACAAAACAAAATTCAAATTAACCCAACAAACAGAAAAAAACAAGCTTCAATTATAAAAATTCCACATTTAAAAAACTACACGCCAATTTAAATTTAAATTCTTCAGTTCGGTCATAATGTCAATTATCACTTTCAATAAAAAAAAAGAAAAACCGTAGAGAAGAAAAAAAAACATATGTTTTTTATTACTTCATTCGAGTTTTACATTCACGCTAATTTGTCGATAGGCATTAAAAGAAGCCGACCGAGTTATTCGGTAGCTGTACGACGCTAATGAACATTAATACGGAGAACGGAACGTTCGGATTATAAAATGACCATATTATTAGTACATGGTCTCTCTGGTCACTTGGATAAAGGTGTGATAAAATTCCAAATATTCCATCTTTGTAATTGCAGCCTGTGACAGCTGTTCTAGTGATTGGGTTAGAGAAGTTTATTAATTAATATTGCGCTTTACTTGTATTTTTAAGATAAAAGCTTTTTGGAGATACAGAAATCAACTCGTAATTGAAATGATATTTAACTTTGTTTTGGTTTCTCATATAATAAAACAGGTAATAAAATTATTAATATTTTGTCAAAGGAAGTAATGACGCAAAACCTTAGTTTGTATTACATTACAAAAGTTTACCAGCGTAGCGATTAAGTTACTCGCTCACCGCTGTCAACAAAGCTTCAACCGGTCCGTCATTAGTGAGTGAGTGAATGAAAACACTTCATCGCTTGTCTATGGGCATCTGTTTTATGACACGATAATACCAATTAAAAACTATTAAATTATACCTTTCGGCTACCATTTGATGAGTTATAAAGAACTGGATTTTTATTCGTATGTTTGTTTATTGTGATTAATTTTTATTAGTGTCGTAAATGCTGTGTAACGTGTCAATAAATGAATAGAGCTTTTGAATTTCCAGATTAGCGTTGCGCAATGATGTCGCGGCGGCTTTGATTGATCTTGTAGGAAATAATGATCTTAAAGTTCGACTTTGGCCGAACAAATTGCGTATCATTGCTCATTAAAAAAACAACTTGTCTTTGGACTTGTATTTTTTTTTGATTTTGTAACGAAAGAGGTTTTATATTTACGTTCAAAGTTTGCTTCTCGCCTTTATATTTGACTTTTAGCCGTTAAGCCCCTTGTTTTATTATTTCTGCACAATAAAATGCAATAATCTTCTTGGAAGCGCTAAAGGAAAGTCGTTTTGTGCGAACGTTCGCGCGGTTCCCGCCAATTAACACTTTGCAGACAAAGATGGCCGCTTTTGGAGGGAAAGTCTTTGTGTACATACATTGTAAGGGCGGCTATTATGGTGTGTTTAATGATTTTAGAAGGATCGGTCTGAGAAGTTATGTTCGTAGATTTTGTTCAAGCATTTTGAAATGTTGGATTTTCCCAAATTTCTCCTTTCTGTTGTTTAGTTTCGATGTTAACCGGGATTCATGTTTTTTGAAACTGGAAAATATATTCTAGTTGTTTCTTAGTCGCATCTGTCTGGTGTCAGTTTCCATACCTGATTGCAAATTCATCTCAATTACACTATAACATGGTAAATTCTTGAATATAGTCAAAGCAAGATTTGTAAACGTTTAACAGTCTTTACACCGGGAATAAAATACGTCCACTTGTAGTCCTCGAATAAAGTAAAAGTAAAATCTATACTAATATTATAAAGCTGAAGAGTTTGTTTTTTTGTTTGTTTGTTTGAACGCGCTAATCTTCGAAACTACTAGTTCTGTGTTGGAGGAAGGCTATCATCAACAGCCTATAAATGCCCACTGCTGAGCAAAGCCTCTTCTCACACGGAGAAGGTTAGAGCATTAATCACCACGCTTGCTCAATGCGGGTTGGCGATTTCAAACTTATAATTAGAAACTATAAGTTCAGGTTTCCTCACGATGTTTTTCCTTCACCGTTTGTCAGTGGTGTCTAAATAATCTTAGAAAGTACATATAACTCGGAAAAAGTCACATTGGTACTTGCCGTTGGTAGGTTTCGAACCCGCACCCTCATGCATGAGAAGTGGGCGTCTTAAACCTCCGGGCCACCACGACATTCAGGAAGGAAGGCTATAGGCTATATAAAATATCACGCTACAATTAATAGGCGCCGAGCAGAGCGAGTGAAACCACGCAGAAGTAGCTAGTGAGAAATAAATCTGAAACTCTTTAAATATCTTCAACTTGCCTACCAAGCTTGAAGAGTAAAACCCTTCTTATGGATCAGCTAGGCTATCATGTAACTTTCCATTCTATAGATCGAAGAGAGCTCAATCGCGGTCCGCCATGTCATTGATTGTGTTGAATAACCTCGACCAATGACGGGCGAGAATGCGATTTAGCTCACTTTTACAGTTTGATTGACAGATAAAGAATAATATAGTTGCTTCTGGTGCAGTAGTTTATTGTAATGGGCTTGTACATAATGATGACGGACGAAATTTCGTGTAAAAACCTAGAGAAGGATTTTAGTCACCATTATTATAATTACCTACATAGTAGTATTATTACAAAGTCGCTATCCACCGTCTGTCTGTCCCTATGTATGCTTAAATCTATAAAAGTAGGCAACGGATTTAGATGCGGTTTTTTAATAGATAGATTCATAAGGAGGTTTTATATGTATTATACATGCATATTGCATCCGTGCGAAGCCGGAGCGGGACGCTAGTATTCTATAAATAGCTGTCTAGACTTTTTTGTAATAATATTGTTATGTACACTCTAAATAATTTACGACTACTCAGTTATATGAAAGCGAACAATTAATTAGCGCCTCAGTGCGAAATATGCGCACGTCTTATTATAACTGTGATTTTTTGTCTATAGGTAATATTGTGGAAAAATCTATAAAGGACTAGCGGACTCAACAGACGTTGTCCTGCATATCCACTTGAATATATGTATAAACAAAAATTCGTTCAAATTAGTTCAGCTGTTTATGATAAATAACCTAAACATCGACTGCAGCGCCATCTGCCGGGCTGATTTGTGAATCTAAACCATTCCCAGATCCCCTTGAACATACCCAAAAATTTTCATCAAAATCGGTCCAGTCGTTTGAGAGAAGTTCAGTGACATATACACTCACAGAAGAATTATATATATAAAGATTATATTAGCACTAGCGAGTCCGGCAGTATTTCATCCGCTCTGCTCGACTTCTATTGATTGTAAAGTGGTATTTTATAACCTTCTTCAGTAAAAAGTCTAACTAGCACTAAAAGAGTTAAACCGCTACCCATTGACGATGGAAAATTGCCATTAGAAAAAAAATGATTGAATAAATAGCGGTTCTGGCCACAGATTGGTGCAATGGTGGCCCTTCAACGACCAAGTCACACAACATTAACTATAATAATAAAGAAATCGCAGTAAGGAACCTTAGATTTGGCACGACTTTGCCTAGATTTCATACTGTTAGAGATGACCAAGCGGCTTCATTGAGACTTGGCTAGTTTCTTACAGAATGTTTTTGGTTAGAATATTTAATAGAGACCGGTGGCAGCAGTGTTTTTTTAATTTTAAATGTTATATAATATAATACTTTTAAAATGTGGAATCCGATCCACATGTCAAGCGTGAAAATTAGATAGAAATCTATCTGCACCGACACCAGGTCCTCTAATAATATTTCTTTCTTTCGTCTTTTTTTTAGACCCACACTAGGGTTCTCTCATGCGTTTACAAACATACACGTTCACATACCCATGACACTTAGACTCGGAACAACAATCTATTGATCACACAAAGGGTTGCTCCATGCGGGAATCGAATCCGCAACACGTTGCACGGCAGCCGTGCAGTCATTGTTTATTTATAGTTATTTCAACAGTGACACAGACATAAATTGATATTTTTCTTACAAAATTTTATTTCGTTCTTGACCAATTTACTTTAGAAATAACCTTTGTTATCTAGTGTTTTATTATATTGATTGTAACACATCGCATAATGATGTTACGTGACTTATGGACGAAGTTTTCTATTTCATTAGCCAATGATGTGTTTTTAGTATGATTTTGTGGATATTCCTGTGTTCTTTGTTGCATTTTTGTAGCTTTTTAACATAACATAACATCACGCCTTTTATCCTTAAAGGGGTAGGCAGAGGTGCCCATTACGGCTTACGGCATAGGGTAGATGCCTAATTTTTATTGTAATGTCCGTCTGGTAGATTATTTTAAATCAATAAACACGTATTTATTCTGAAACGAATACTTTCGACGATATATTGATTTGAAATGTCGCGTGACATCACTTCTATGTACATTTTATACGTAGAAATTACGTTTTAGCCCCCACTCCCAAACTTTGATTCATTTTATCTAAGTATTGTTTTATTATACGACAAAATAAAAAAATACGTAATTTTCATACCCTGTCATCATCCCAATTTAACAGAGATAGACACACTGTTGTTTATCAATGAGATTGAGAGATAACTTAAAACAATTTAAATTGAACAATATTTTAATAAACCATATTCTTTTGTTCACAGGTATGGTTCCAAAATCGGCGAATGAAGGATAAGAGACAGCGTATAGCCGTTGCGTGGCCTTACGCAGCTGTGTACAGTGACCCAGCCTTCGCAGCATCAATCCTTCAAGCCGCCGCCTCATCTGTAGGCCTACCTTACGGCTACCCCTCCCCCGCCCTAATCCCACCCTTCCACAACCCACAACTCTTACCAGCAGGCTACCCATACCCCTACCCAACTTACCCCCGTTACCCCTACATTCCCCCAACTCCCCCCTCCCCAGTCAACGCTGAAGCGACGTCGCTAAGGCCCGCGTATTCAAATTTCAACTTAAATGTTGATAAATAATTTTCTATGTAACTTTCCCGCCGGGATCTTGGTTTAAAAAGTTTCTGAAATAGGCTTGGTTGGTAGTCTCGACAATGATTACGATAGAAACCGGCTGTAATAGATTTTCAACTTTCAGATAAAAGGATAAGGTTGAAAATCTTTAAATGAGATGTATGACTTTGCGACTGAATTTTATCGTTATTAAAGTCGAGACCGCCCAACCATGGTATTATCGGATATAGATATTGTGATTGTATTTTTGGGTATCATCAGAAAATAATAAATCTTTACCTTTAAAATACTGTTTCGCGGGCAAAGATTTATTATTAAAATCGTAACCCATTTGGTGAAGAATTGTAAATACTTTTTTTAGTTAATTTATTGAATGCTGGTCATACTGGTGAACGAGAGTGAACGAAATGAATGATTGTAATTTTATTTTTAAAAGACGATTTATTTGTGCTGTACAGTTTGTATAATTAAGTCTTTTTGGTGATTATTCATTCCAATTGCTACAATTATAGGTAAAGTAGGTAAGATTTTGTCTACCATACTATTTTTTTAAGTACCTATTTGAATCTTACCATTCATAAATTTAGGTTATGTTTTCGAACTTATTTAAATTCCATTTTCGTCTAAATATTTTATACTTACTGTTTTTTTTTTCACTAAAATAAAATGTATAATTATGTTAGTATAGAAATTGTATAAAGCCAAAGTATATTATAAACAAATAAATAAATAATTAATTATAAAACGAATAGTAGTTTAAAATTAGTGCAATACCGAAACTATATTATTGTTTTGTATGATGACGTCATTGGAGAAAATGGCGATCAATAGTAAGATTTTGTTCAGACTTGCGATTAAACGCATACGTTATTATTTAATACTTGTGAAAAGTTGATGTGTACATAATTGTGAGTATTGTAGGTACTATAGGTAGGTGCTATGCACTAAGACGCGCCCCACTAATTTTTGGTTGAGGGGATCGCGATCGATGGATCGCTCTCTCCAGCAGCTGTAGCCAAATGCCATTTAGCGCTTGTCTACATGTAGAATAGAAAACTAAAATATGGGATTGACGTAAATTTTTACACTTGTCAGTGTCATCCCTATACATTTTGATTTCTACTCTCTGTAGACAAGCGCTAAAGTGGCGTTTAAAGGCCCAGCAGCTATAGCCAAATGCCATTTAGCGCTTACACTTGTCAGTGTCATCCCCATACTTTTTGATGTATACTCTCTCTGTAGACAAGCACTAAAGTGGCGTTTAAAGGCCCAGATTAGTCTATTTATTGTGGTGTGCGTGTGCATTCATAGGTAATAAGTGTGTAATGACATCACTCAAACATTGCCGAAAGCTTGCATACATATACTACAAACGGTTAGGAGGAATAGTGGGGTGCGTCTTTGTGGATTTCACTATCTGTAATCTGTATTGTGAGTAATATTAAACCACATATATTAATAATATGTACTCTGTACAGTTAGCACAGTTATTTACTACCTATTACAAAAATAAAGATAGATACAGTACTTACAGTGACAGTAGCTATTGTTGTTCTAAGATGGAAAGTTTTTACCCAAGCCATGTTCTGAAACCATTGACCGGTTCAGTAATAAACAAATGGTTACTGTCTCTGTTAAGTCAAATGTCAAAAACTCTTTTTTCTTTATTTTTTTAAGTGCGTGAATAACTTGAAATAAAATCGTCGTACGATTTTTAATCGCAAGTCTGAACAAACCATTTTGTAAATGTTGTGTATATTTTAAAAGTAAAATAAATGTTTAGTGTTCATAGGAGTTAGATTACTTGGTTTAATTCATTTAATTAAGATTCCTTGCTGGCGTATATAAGAGATATTTGATGATTACTTATACTATACCTCAGTAACAATTTGTTCGGAAAGCAATAGGGTACATGACTAATTTATATTTAAATACCCGTCTGGTAGATTATTTTAAAACATTAGACACATATTTTTTATTTTGTTACGCAAACAAATACTTTCGACGATATATTGGTATGAAATGTCGCGTGACGTCATTTCTATGTACGCTTTATACGTAGAAATGACGTAGCAAGTTCCCACTCCGGAACTTGGACTCGTTTTATCTAAGTATTGTTTTCTTGTACGACAAAATAAGAAATACGTGTCTAATATTTTTGTATTATCTAACTGACGGACTTATTCGATTTTTAATTTTCATACCCTGTCATCATTCCTATTGTAAAGGAATGGGTTATATATACATACATATGTCTCTGAGTACGCCGGATAGCGTTTAAGGTGAACATTGTAAATTACATTTTAATTATAAAAGAACAGAATAAAAGAAAATTATTACTTATATACGTTTATTTTTGTTGTTTTATTTTATTGTCTTTATAACCAAGAACAGAAGAAGAATTTGGACATGAGCTCCATACTTCTTCCTAGTCGATTCCCTCACCGATTTTTCGTAACCACCTAAACTTGGTCGGGTTACCACGATCATTCTCTTCCTAATGACTTTAATCGTATTATCTCATTAATCATCCAATGTACTGAGCTGAAATTTTACTGATATATAACTGAACTAAACAACTAATTATTGACATAACATTCAGTTCATATATCCAATCCAGTGGCCAAATAACATCGCGCGCATCAAGACCGTGCTCGTGAAGAACTGAATATCATCATAACTTGTTCAATACTTACAGTATACTAATGAAACTTTATATACATTTGAAGGCAGTTACAAGCTTTTAAATAACGTTTGAAGTAAGTCTTTAGAGCTCTTATTGAGAGTGCTAGGGCCAATTGAAGTGTTTTTCTATTTAATGAAATAACCTTTAAGCTTTTTATTATTTTGGTTTTTTATTGCACAACAAATTTGAACTAATTCCTAAGAAGCCATGTACCAAATATTATAAGAATCCGCTTAATTTTCAAAGATTTCAAAGATCTAGCAAAATCAAAAACGTTACCCCAGCAAAATCTCGAATAACTTCGCAACCGATGAAAGAACAAATACAAAACAAGGCACAACATTCACTTCATCTAGACAACTAATTTTATAGCTAGTAATTATTTAAATATTCCCATTAGAAAGAAAAAGGTCTGGCTGGGGTAACGTTACCCCAGCAGGAAATGTTTTTGTGAAATAATTAAAAAACTATAAGCGCAACAAATTTAAAAAAGATGAATCTAATTTTTTTTACCGAATATCACGAACGGGAACGGGTAAAAATGGAAGTGCTCGTATCGTACGAAGTCGCGGGCAGAAGCAAGGTCTCTATAAAATCTTATGTTGTATTAAAATCGTTTTTTTAAACGCAACGTTGCCCTACACTAAGATTTTCTCTTGTGTCGTGGGTACGTTTATAAACATACACGTTCACCTACACTACACATGACACCCAGACCCGGAACAACAATTGGGGTACTCGCCAACTAGTCAAATTCAATACTTTTTTGACGTGACAACGTCTTAAATTAGGTTGCGGCTGGGAGTCACTTATGAAAAAGTGTAACGCTCGGTAACGTTACGATGAGTCACCGAACGAGAGAGAGGCCCGCCGAATGCCTTGCGTCTCCCTCCCACTCAACTATGATCGGTCTGCCGCGCGCGCAGCACTAGTTCATTCAATTCCTTGTTCCTATTGTGCAATTTAATTATATTCATATCAATAAATATTCTACCGAGAAAAAGACGTTGTCACGTAAAATCTTCGCCCGTAAAAACGACTTTACAGGCAACCATTTTTTTCGAACTGTCAAAAACGACAGTTTTCTATGAATTTTGTACGAGATTGTGTATTGTGACGTCACGGTTTTTAGCGTCAAACAGCATATTTATTTCTTAAAAAATGCTGCTACCCTTTCGGGGGTAAAAGGCGTGATGTTATGTTATGATTATCTACAAGTATTGATTACACGAGTCGTGGTGGCGCGGAGGTTTTGGCGCCTGTTTCTCATACATCAGAGTGTGGGTTCGAAACCTACTAACGGCAAGTACCAATGTGACTTTTTCCGAGTTATATGTACTTTCTAAGATTATCTAGACACCACTGACAAACGGTGAAGGAAAACATCGTGAGGAAACCTGGGCTCATAATTTCGAATCATAAGCTTGAAATCGCCAACCCGCATTGAGCAAGCGTAGCTACTACGGCGTAGTCGAAAGTGCTACGCCGTAGTACCGTTTGTTTGCTTGCTTTGCTGTATGTGAAACGAGTGAATTTATTTCTGCAAATAGGCTACAAGGCAGCACTTTTACACGTCAATTTTATCAAGCGAACGATGAGGTCGACATTTCCTAACTGACTACTCTGAGAAGAAATGCCGAAACAAACTCAGAGGTCTGTCTCTTGTTGGAAAACAAACATAAGGATTTTTTTCCAATAATGCGCACTGCTGCGTTGGTAAAGAGATTCGATTCCCATGTCATATATAATGATTAGTATATATCAATTTCAAAATTTTCTCTCATTAGGAATTTGGATGATTTTTCAATGAAAAATTCATTTAAGTTTTTGTGTTAGATTATACGTGTGTCTGTGTAGTGTCTATGTGTAAATATCGATAGGCCATCACGCTGCGAGCAATAGGAGCCGAGCAGTTGTGTTAATAAAATAAAGTTACTTATGTTATGGTAAGTTTAGAGAAATAAATAGTAAATTCAGAATCGGTATACTAATATACTTATCAAATAAATTATTATGTTTTCGGCTTACTCACGTAATAATGTAGCAGCGCGACAGTCGCCGCGTCGCGGGTCGCGAAATGCTGCTCATGAATATGAGCCTCTAGCATGTCTTGAAACTAGTCGAGTTCCTCGTCAAATTATTACGTGAGTAAGCTGAAAACATAATAATTTATTTAGTATATCTCACGACAGTTACAATACAAATATACTTATCATATTATATTGATTTTGGTGAATCAGCGCATCGTTCTCTTAGAATGTTTTCAAACAATTGATGACTCAGTCCTAGAATGAATCAGTTTTGTTAATAATATGGAGATTAGTTAGATTTTAATCTAACTCCACCCCTATTGGGGTTTTAAGAGTCGCGGAGAACCTAACGGGTTACCGTGGCTCCGGCTCGAAGCTGGAGTAGGAACGGGGTGGATTTAGTCATTATAAATCTGACATTCCCTCCCAATTACAAATGACCGTTTTCACAAATAATTCCTAAACTGTCACTTAACTAAAAGTTACTTTGCGAGAGGAAGCATCCGAATTAACCCCTTACTTGTACTGTTAGGGGGCACGTAATGATAAGCGTCGCCTATCCTAGCTTAGAGGTTCCTGGTCTAAGTTTTCTATACTCTGTTGCTCAGGATAGCAGCTAACGTCTGTATAGCGTACAATAACGAGTCGGCCATCGGCCACGTCACGTGGAATTACTTAATAAGGCACCCGTTACTTACGATACTGAGACGACCACGACAACATAATACTGGGACGGATTTGGAAACAAAGAAGATGTCAAAGTCAAAGTCAAAATAAAAAAGTACATATCAATGTCACGTCTCGCACATAGTGGCACAAATAAAATGTTATATCAACTATTCACCAGTTTCATTATGAGTCCCGTGTAATAGGGA